CATAGGTAATAAAATGAGACAGCAAAATGTTGATTTTTGCAGCCAACTTTGCAATACAAATTCCAATTTAATCGTAGCTGGTATGAATTTGCCTGGCAGAGCCAGATATGGGTGAGGGTACGTGCAAAGTAATCTTGGATTTGTACACTTAAAGAGCTTCCCCAAACTTTAGCTCATTGGTAGGTCTCCATTTTCTCTAGCTTTCTTCAAAATTTCTGTTCTTAGGAAAACGATTTTTCTGTGTCTCTAAAACAACATTATAATTTAGTTTCTGATAGCTTCAAACTAAAGCAAATTTTAGTAACCTAAAAATTTCTTTCACAACTTCCTGTAACTTACAGAAATCTAGAGAAGCAATTGGAGAGTCTTATTTCACGAATCGCACAATTTAGATCTGTCGCAAAGTTAGGCTCCGCATGGCAGGACATTGGCTTTGGAATCTGCGACAATTTATAATATCGTTCTTTGCATTTGTCGAACCCTCTGTAGTACAAGGTTTCAGGAAATTCCGAACGCTTGTGGACTCCAAAACATTCTTTACTCGTCAGCGATTTTTTGTTAAAGGCAAGATAAAAAACGAGAGGTTGACACGACGTTTCAACACTGCCAAGTAAACATGTTTTGCGCGGAGAGGGGGCATGGTATGTGTTGTGGACCGGCCATTAAAAGAGTTCACAAACATGGTTAATAACATAACCGTAACATTAAATTTATCATGAGCTTTGTGCAAATTATAACATTAAATAACATAAATATTATTAACATTTAATACTAACATCAAATGCCCCGCAAATTTTTTAGCTTAGAATTAATTTTTTATTTTAAAATTTTCCAGTTTAAAATTATAGGTTTTCAGCTTTTCAAAAAATTATAAGTAATTCAGCTCATTAATTCAGAGTTTGTCTTTTCGAATGCAATTCAAAACTGGAATACAAAGGAAAAGCATACAGCAGCGTGACTGTAGCATTGATGGCATTTTTTGCAGAGTAAACACAGCGTATAAATCCGGATGCAGCGCCTAAAATTGCTTTGAATAAGAATTCTGACAATGGGATGAAAAAAGGAGCAAAGGAACACTACGCTATGGCACACACACTGTCAACGAAAACCTTCAATGTTCGATCCGAGGAAGTTTCCGATCGTACCATGTTGAAAAGCCTCAACTCCAAAAAATGCTGCATCCCGTGCTGCCACTTGTTGCCTGCAAATTGAGAACTTAAGTGAGAAATTAAAAATTATTCGCATGTCACTGATTTAGTAAGGGAGGGGGAATATCATCAAAATTTAATGCCGCTCTGGCAGAGAGAAACCTCTTTCCCCCGTCAATATAGCATTTAGGGAATGAGTTTATTGCGGTCAAGCTAGAATTCATGCTCCACTGTTTGCATAAAGCTTTTCTGGCCAATAACACATTTAATCTACGAATTTTCTGGCATCGCACTGATCAGAAAAAAAAATGGTAGGCACTCTTCCGCAAACGCAATGAGGCATCAAAGCCTACTAGGCTAGCCTGCCCCTGCTCATACTTGGCAGCATCCCCTGAATATTTCAGGTTTTGCGACAAGCTAAAAAACGATGGAACCAAAATGCTGGCCGAGCCTTCGAAGGAGTAAACTGAGAAGCTCATTTATCTTTCGAGAAAAAATTATTTCATTTGACCAAAAATCCACAATTCATTTGACTTTGTTCTTTACTTCAAATAAATGCATTTTACATTCCCTATGGTATAAAATTATCAAAAAAAGGCATACGTTCTTAAAATTAATGTCTAAAAATGATTAACTTACAGAGTATTGGGTGGACTGTACTGATAGGTCTCCCATCGGTTCATGTGGAGTTGAGCTGTCGGCAAATTCTGGATATGAGAGTAACCTGAGGCTCTATCGATTCGAACTTCGCTCTTGATTTCCACTGAAGCGCACAGCGCATAGTCAACAAACAAGCGCAGTTCAAACAGCAAATCGCTCTACAAACTCTTAATAAAATCGCGTTTCTTTGCTCTGCTACATAAACTCTCTCTACAACCAAAGGAAATAATAGTCGTCAGTATGGCGATGATTCAACCATCGGTTCTCGAGATCTGTTCGAGAACAGTGACTAGGAAAATAAACAGAGATGGCGGAGGTAGCCGAGGGAAAATTTCGCTTTTAATTCGAAAAAGGCTGAGCCATATCTCTTAAAATTTTTGTTTGTTCATAGAGGTTTTTACGCGTGTTTGTACAAATCAAAACGCAGTATGGCAAAGCTAAAGTTGTAAATGTATGTACGCCTATTTATGCATGTACGCATCTGCCTGAGTAGTTAGAATAAAAAAAAAAAGATGAAAAGATAAATAGGACCTAAAGACAAAGATTATTTTTGGAAAATTTTGTTTTAGGGAAAATTTCCTGAAAATGAAAGTTGGGGTAAGAATGCGGACAAGAACTTATTTTGAAAATTAAACTTCTTATGTGGGAGAAGTACAGGTATAACTGAAGATCCATGAAGTCAACTCAAGAATCATCAGGGTTAGGTGGCAAAAAGACTGGAAACACAAATCACTATATCGCAAAAACCGGCACAAATTTGCAATCAGTTCATAACTTATCTGTTTCTTGACACTTGTTCTTGAATTTAAAATCTTGTAGGCTGAAAGCGAATGAAGAAAAGATTCGTAAATTTTAGTTTTTTTACCAACAAAAAAAGCTGGAGCGAATAGGTTTCGCTTTGGTCTAACTTGTGATTCAGCTTTGATCTCAAGGTGACGTTGTGTAATTTCAATAATAGACCAACCGAACACTTCAAATTTCCTAACTGTTGAATACTGCATATAACACAGCGTAACTTCGGAGACAAGACAAGATGGGCAGCACTGGAGTGGGTATCGCTATCAAGTGAATGATTCGGCGAAGCTGTACTTGCAACATGATCGAAATCACAAAAAAATTCTCATAGAACACTTTGTGGATCCCATTTATCCAATCGCAAGGGATCACTGGGAGTGTGCTAGCTTTCTTGATGGGATCCATTTCC